CAGCAGTGGCAGAATTCTCACCAAGCAAAATTCGAGAATTCTGTTCATTTATAAACTATGCTATATTCTTTCTTTCCTGTATTATATTCTTTCTTTCTTGTGCTATTTTCTTTCCTTCCTGTGTTATTTTCTTTCTTTCCTGTGTCATTGTATACACACACACACACTATCTTAGATCGACAACAGAATTCTAAGCAGAATGAATCGTTTACCGGCAGAATTTTGTAAGAATTCTGTATTCTCTACAGAATTTTGTATCAATACAAGAATATATATATTTCTAATCGAAACGGAAGTTTTTCTTAGAATTTTGTTTAAAAGCAGAATTATGAGTTTGTTATAAAGTTTTCCTGTATTTTATCTAAGGAATATTTTGAACTAGAATCAAAAGTAGGGGTGTTACTTTATATTTACTTTACTTTTTAAAGATAAATAAAACCTTTATATTTAAAAAATAAAGATAAATGAAATTTTTATATTTATAAAATAAACAATAAAGAATTTATGAAATCTTTATATTTATAAAATAAAGATAAATAAAATATTTATATTTATGAAGTAAAGATAACGATAATCTTTATATTTATAAAATAAAGATAAATAAAATATTTATATTTATGAAGTAAAGATAACGATAATCTTTATATTTATAAAATAAAGATAAATAAAATATTTATATTTATAAAGTAAAGATAACAATAATCTTTATATTTATAAAATAAAGAATAAAGAATTTATGAAATCTTTATCTTTATAAAATAAAGAAAAAGAAACGGTAGCTTTATCTTTATTTAATAACGATAAAATGAAGAATAAAGAAAAACATTTTCCCTTAAAAACCCAAAATTTGGTCTTCTCCGGATAGCTCGAAGAAAATTAAGAAGTTCAAGGCTAAAAAAATTTTGAACACTAGATTTTTTCCATAAATGATTTATGCCTCACCATCATTTGCTAGTATTATTTCATACTGAAATGTCAGTGATGATAAGCAAGAACTGCAATCAATGTTTTCTGTTGTTATACAAATTATTTATCTATTTACCAGTGACTGCAGAAAATCTTTCTTTTTTTATTATTTATTTTAACTTTATTTTTACCAATAAAGATTATCTTTATCTTTATTTTATAAATATAAATATTTTATTTATCTTTATTTTTTAAAGAATAAAGATTTCATAATTTCTTTATTCTTTATTTTATAAATATAAAGATTTCATTTATCTTTATATTATAAATATAAAGATTTCATCTATCTTTATATTATAAATATAAAGGTTTTATTTATCTTTATTCTTTAATATAAAGATCAATAAAGATAAAGTAACACCCCTAATCAGAAGTTGAATATTCAGGTTTTGAAGAATTTTTCAAATATAATTACCATCTGCTGAAGTACTTTATTATTATAGTCAACCTTATCGCTTTGTTTTATGCAACCGTTTTCATAGGAATGTTTTCTTAAATATTTGCTCATTCAAATTTCTATATCTGAATTCAAAAATGTTGATTTGTCGATTAATTGAGTTTTACAAAGAANTAACATTTGGAAGTTATTGAATATGTTAATAGTGAATTGTAGTAGTATAGAGAAGATATGAAGATGATATAGCTATTGATATTGTTGATAAAAAATGTTGAGAGATTTTAATTATTTTTTGATACGAGTTGGGTACTTGATATAATTTATAAAGTTATATTCGACAAAATTTTTCGACTAAATGGACCAAGTAGACATTATACATATACTAAAGAGGATCGAAACTGTTGTTTATGTTTCGCTAATTTATTATCATAGATTATCATAAACATTTATAAAATAAACTTTCATTCATGAAATAATGACTACCTTGAATTGATTGAATGTAACAATTATTCACTATATATAATAATTGATCCTCTCTCAAATGAAAACTTTACTTTACATCATAATTTTTGAGATTAGCTACTTTAATCAAATTCAAACTTTTAAACAATATGACTCGATATATTAATGCAAAAATTTTCAATGAAACTATTGGTTTATTACTGATATTAGGTTTAAGAATAAAAATAAATGATAATATTTTTATTGGTTTAGTTGATCTAACCAAACTCTTGTACCAAATAGAATTAAAAATTATAATCGGTCATATCTAAAAACTCTCAAAACAATTGTACCTGTACATATTTATTCTGAATAATATACACGGCATACTTATTAAATGTTTTTGTTTATGTTTTATTAAGATCATTAAATATTGTGATGATAACAAAATATTTGTCTCTTTCTTTCTTTCTATTGTCCATTTATTAGCCTTTCGTTTTCTACTCTATCTTCTCTCCCTCTTTCTCTCTCTCTCCTTTGGGTATAAAAGCGTGTCCTATGCATGTAAACAATGTGACGAGTTTTCATAAAATAAATGCTTGTAATGATGTAACTACGATTTATTCAGCCTCTTTATATCATAAATCGCATCATTTATACATAGAACACAGGTGAATATAAACAATGAAGATGAAGAGAGAGAGAGAGAGAGAGAGAGAGAGCGAGGGAGATAAACAAAAGAAAAGGAACGGCTAATAAATGCACAACAAGAAGAAAAAAAAAGGAAGCAAATAAATGCGTAACACAGAGAAAAACGATGACGATTTATTGGTTATTCAAAATAATATCTCTATAGATGAAAACGTAGGATTATTCTAATGTAAATAAACTATAAATGACTGAAAAAATTGATTTTTTAATATAAAATACACATGACTTCTAGTTCGACGCGTGTTATTTAACTAAGAACACAAAACACCATTTAAAAGAAATTTTCGATATTTACATTTTCCTATCTTTGAATAAAACCGATGTGAAAAATTTTGATATTTAAACATTGTTTTCCTATTTTAAAGAAGTACTACTTACATTGATGTCTTTTTATTTCTTATTTCATGTACTGAAGCTAGTAAAAAACTTTTTTACGAGAAACAGAATTCTGACAAAATTCTGCTTAGAATTCTGCTTTCTACCCAAGCTAGTGTGTGTATACAGTATGAAAGAATTCTGCAGGGGAAACAGAATTCTCTGTTGGTAGTGTGCAATGTGCCTTTAAGTTATATGGGTATTATTCTTACAGAATTCTGCTGGTTGTTCTTGGGCGAATTCTGCCACCCCTCAAGACGACTCGATACTCAGTAAGAATACATTTTCTTGGGTTAAAATTTCCAAGGCATTTTGTTTGTTCGTCATGGAGATTTTGTACGAAGTAAAGTACCTAATACAATAGTGACTATGGTAAGTAGGTAATGCATAAATCTGAATATGAGACGTGTAGGGTGTGGGTGTGGGTGTGGATGTTGATATCCACACCCACCTCTCCTGTTTATCGTATTTTAAACCATAATTGTAGTATTTTCTTGACACTGAAGTCAACGGTTGACAATTTTTACCATTTGATAATAAGATTCGATTCGAAATGAAAGCGAATAAGGCGATATCTTATCGATACTGCACTCTCGTCTAAACCTCTACAGGACCAATCGCTGATCGATACCATCACTATTTTCTATCAGATAGCTCCCAAACTAGTGTCAGAACACTGCTTTTAAGACCAAAGAATGTTCGTACTTATCGGTAACGTTAATATTCAACTTAATAATGCGTAGTTCTTAAAAAAAGAATAAGAAATACACGCTTAAACAAAATTTTGGAAAAACTAACTAACCGTGTCGTTTCTCTGAGCAGGTACTGAGTGTGTGTGTTGGGGAGGGGATAGCCGCATATGTGTGACAGAAATGTGTATACTCGAGCCCGCACTCACATTCTAACCACATCTCGAATGAAAACAGCGGCAAAAGCTTGTTATGTACAATGAAAATATTCATAGAAAAGTCAAATGAAAATATCAAGCGTAATACATTGACATCTACTTTTACGAGGTTACTCTTTATTGGATTTTTTATAACGCATGTGCTTTGTATCTCCTTGTGAGAAAACAAAATTGTTGGACAAGACAAAAAAAAACATAATATAACAATAAACCGTCAATAAATAAAATATTGATATAAAGAAAAATTTGTTTCATTAGACATTCATCGTAACTAAGTACAATGCTCTAAAGAAAAGATGTTAGCACAATCCCTGTGGGATTAAAATGTGAAACGCAATAAAGCTCGTTTTTGGAATCTGTCTACCACGATCTGTGACGGTCTGTGGAGCTTCTCTGTCACGGTCTGTATTTGTATTATGGTGTATGAAGTCTCTAGAGACAATCGCAGACCGTTTCACAGACTCCAGAAGCCATCACAGATCGTGACAGAGAAGTTTCACAGCCCATCACAGACAGTGACAGAGAATTCCGAAATCATCACAGACTGCGACACAGAAATTAATTAATTAATTAATCAGCTAACTAATTAATTAATTTATCTGTCCCTGTCTGCGGGGGGGGGGGGGGCGGGGGGGGGGGGGACNCCCCCCCCCCCCCCCCCCCCCCCCCCCCCCCCCCCCCCCCCAAATTTCTACCCTATATACTTCAACACTCCTTTCAGATCGTGTTTCACAAAATAATACTAATGAGTGATCATGGTTCTTCGTCTCTTTTGGCGTTACCTATCGATATTATTTATCGCATTTTGGATCATCTTAGTGACTTTACACTTTTGTGTGCTGTTCGTGATGTATGTACACGATTAAATTCGATCATTGATACATATTATCGATATCAAGTAAGCTTCAATTTTGATAACATCTTCATATCATTTCTTGTTTAAGATTTTGGTACATGTTTAGTTTAGACACCGGGAGAACGGAAAGAAAATAAATTGGTTGAAAAGACGACCAACAAATAGAATAGAACGAAAGAAAAAGAAAAGAACGAAAAAATATAAGTGACTTGTATAGATGAGTGGCATATTCAAACATAAGCTATCAATTATGTTTTCGTTTCATCGTATTCCACTGTCATCAATACAAGTCACTTATATTTTTTCGTTCTTTTCTTTTTCTTTCGTTCTGTTCTATTTTTTGGTCGCCTTTTCAACCAATATATTTTCTTTCTGTTCTCCCGGTGTTTAAACTAAACATGTACCGAAAAGTTATGTTCCGTTTCAATATTTTACCAAAGTATTAAGAAGTATCAGTGATCCTTAGTTCCACCGCATCTCTCATATATATAATTATCTGCATTCCTTCACATAGACACTTACATCACTCAAACTCGAAATGTATGAAATCAACCATTATGGAAGCAAACAAGTAGCTGCTGTAATCCGAAGTCATGTGGTAACATTTTTCTTTTTCTCTGTGTTTCTCATATTCTTTTCATTGATACTGCTTCCATTAGACGATCACGACGCTCGATCTCTCTCTCAATGAGATAGGAACTCTCGAAGTACAATATCTATCTGATGCATTGAAAGATAACCAAGTGAGCCTCGTTCATCATAAAAAAATTTTCATATCCTTCTCTACAAGGTTTCACATAGACACTCACTAAACTAGATTTATCATATAATCGAATTGGAAATGAAGCAGCACTACATCTCGCTAATATATTACAAAATACCACGGTCACTTTCATTCTCTCTCTTCGTCTCTGTTATACTCAAATTTACATTTCTTTGTATAGACAATCACAGCTCTCTATTTGGCTGAAAATGATATTGAATCCGCCGGAATGGAACACATGGCTAAAGCATTACGAAATAAGACAGTGGTTTGTTTTTTCAATTTGTCCATCTTACTAATTATGCCATCTGTACTTTTCTTTTCATAGAAACTCACCATACTAGATCTCACGTGGAACCGTATCGGTGACGTAGGGGCACAGCATCTTGCTGATACATTACGAACTAACACAGTAATTATAATTATGCTTTCTTATATTTCATATAACGAAGTGTGCTTTTCCATATAGACTCTCACTACACTAGATCTCACACGAAATCGAATAAAAAACGAAGGAATACGGCATCTCACTGATGCATTACTACATAATATAGTAATTATCATTCTTTTTTCATGCCTCTTATATCTCCTTAAGAACTTCTTCGTTTAGACGCTCACCACATTATATCTTTCAGACAATACAATAGGTGCTCTTGAAGTTCAATATCTGGCTAATGTACTGCGAAATAATACGGTAGCTCTAATTCTCTTTTCGCATCTCTCATATCATGAATTTGCGCTTTTCACATAGACGTTAACTACACTAGACTTGAAAATGAATTCAATCAAAGACGAAGGAATACAGTCTCTAGCTGATGTTCTAAAGAATAATAGAGTGAATCTCATTCTGTTTTCATGCCGTTTATACCACCATCTACATTGCTTCATATAGACACTCACTACACTTCATCTCGGAAATAACAAAATCGGAACTATTGGAGCAGAACATTTGGCTATTGCATTACAAAATAACACGGTAGACCTCATTCTATTTTCATGTCTTTTACATTACCATCTACGCTTCTTAATACAGGCGCTGACTAGACTCGATCTCGGAAGCAATGAAATCGGTGCTCTTGGAGCAGAATATTTGGCTCATGCATTACAAAATAACATGGTAATTCTCGATCTCTCTCTCTCTCTTCATTTGTGTAATATCAATATCTGCACGGCTTCGCACAGACACTTACTACCGTAGATCTGTCCTCCAATCAAATTAGAGATCAAGGAGCTCAATATATGGCTAATGCATTACGAAAAAATACAGTTAGTCTGAGTTTTTCTTCATCGTTGTAGCGTTTCAATCTTAACATTTTCATACAGAAAGTTACCACACTTGACTTGAGTTCTAATCAAATCCAAGCTATGGGAGTTCAACATCTAGTTGATGCATTACGAAGTAACACGGTAAGATCACTTACTCTTGATTAGAATCATATGTATTATGATATATATGAGCATTTCTATACAGACTCTCATTACCCTATATCTCTCGTTGAACCCAATTGGAGACGAAGGAGCGCGGCATCTGGCTAACGCATTACGGAGTAATACGGTAGGCTTTGTTTCCTCGTCATGGTTGCCACAGTCTTATTTACATTGTTTCCCACAGACACTCACTTCACTTCGCCTTTGGGACAATGAAATCGGAGACGATGGAGCAAAGTTTCTTGTCAATGGGTTAGAAACTAACAAGGTGAGCATTATTTCCCATCATTATGATGCCCTCATTTTTGCTTTTACTTTTACACAGACGCTTATTACATTAGATCTCTCTTTCAAAGAATTGGGCAAAAGGCAGGAACAGTACATGACTGATAGGTTAAAATATACTGGGGTAATCTCGATTTTATCCTTATCTCTCTAATATCTCGATCAACGCTTTTTCCTATAGCATATTCGATTGAACGATGTTGTCGCAGAATCAGTAGGAAGAGAGCTTCGAGATCGTGTAGACGAATTACTTACACAAAATAAACAGCGGACACAATGACCAATGTCAACATTGACTATGAGTCATTTTGAAAATTGAACGTGACCAATTGAATATCGAATCATATAAACAGTTATTTTATCATCTTTTATTTGAGTATTTAAATAAGAAATTTTCGTTACACAGCGTCATACTCTTGATAATGATAATTTAGTGTGAGGGCTTCGGATAATTAAAGAGTAGAGTGATGCTTGGCCTAAGTAGGGATGTGGGCCTTGTGAAAATAACTCTAACATACATACACGTGTGCATGCATCATTTTATCATAATGTCTACACATTTCAAATACAAGTATTGTTTAACTGTTGGACTTCATGAATCATACGATTGTAAATAATGTAAATGTTGGGTGTGGTTGGGTGTTGGTGTGGGCGTGGGTGTGAGGGTGTGAGTGTGGATTTGGATGAGCGGGTGCCGGTGTGGGTGTGGTGGGTGGAAGTGTCGATGTGGTTGTGCGCATAAATGTTTTTCACACTTAGATCAACACCCACACCGTCACACCAACTCACACCCATATACAAAAACCCATCCACACCCACAGAACACCTGCATCCATACCCATATCCCACACCTACCCACACCCCACACCCACACCCATAGGTATTTGCGTTCCATTGCCAATATCTCAGCTATTTCAAAGAGTAAAATTTTCGTTTCATTATCTTTAACTCTGTCTAATTGCAGAGGCTTAACTCTTTCAATGGTATTTTCTATATTTAGTGATCTTTTTTTTTGAATTTATTGTCTATTAACCTCATCTGTAAACTAAACAAAATAAACTCACTAGCCATTTTGGCTTGTGACATAATACCCATGAACATCATAAAGCTCATGTTTATTTTCGAAGAAAGTATACTTGACAATACGTTTTAAGGTAGAGTTTTCATATTTTTCCCTTGTTCTTCTATTATAAACCTTAGCGATCTAGAATAGAAATATCTAGATCGATGACATCAACCGCTAACATTCCAAAATGGTTTATTTTGAGAGTGCGCATGGGTGGTGTGTGGAAATGGATGGAGAAAGGAAGAAAGGAAAAATAGAGATAATAAAATATAGACAGGAAAGAATGTCAAAAGAGAAAATGGCGAAGAGAAAATGTCCAAAGGAAAAATATCGAAAGTTAAAATTTCTGAAAATAAAACAATGTGCACGCAGTTGTTA